CCTCCCCACCTCGCAGCGCTCTGCTCCTCTGGAGAGACTCTTGTTTTCCCGGTTGGATCCCTGAACACTCCGTCTCTCTGCTGACTCGGGAGAGGAGGCGTTTAGGGAGACGGCGTGAGTTTCCTCTTTAATTGTTTTCCTAACAGACAAACGAGAGGTGCAGCTCGCGTTAATCGTGCTGACCTTTTACCTGACCGAGGAGACGGTTGAGGTGCTTCTGAGTGTCAGAGTGAGCTACTGTACCGGTTACCTTCTGATGGTGTTTATTTGGACAATAGGGAATCTCTTGTACTGTGTATTTGCACCTGCAGTGAGTAGAGGGTATCCTGGAGGCTCTAAACAGGGTGGCCCCTTCTGCTACTGCAGGTGTTCGTGAGACTACATGATACCTCCCCCACTGCTCCTCTCCGTCTCTCTGTTTCTTAGCTTACAAAACAAGACGTCAGGGTCAGACGTCAGGGCTCATCTCTAAAGCCTCGAGGTCATTACGAGGAGATTCCTCCCGTTTCTTTTGACAGGTGATTACTGAGGCGGTTTGGTGAAAGAGCCGCCGCACAATAGTGACTACTTTACTTTCTTCTTTTCAGAGGTTTTACCCTCTGGATGGGAATCATCTGTGTCCCCCTTCTGCTGGAATTCAGAGGAAATACCGGCCAAAAGGTAACACACCTGACATGTGCAACATTCCTGACACCTCAGAGATTCCTTCCCAACCTCAGAGAGGGCGCGGGCAGGAGACAGAGTTATACTAGATGCAGGGATATCGTTTAGTTCTAGTTCAAAGCATAAAAGCACCTGCACGTGATGATCGTTCTTTGCTTGAGCTCTTGGCCTCAGCAGGTTTTTCATTCCAATCAAACACTGCAGCAGCATGTTTCCCACTGATACACGCACCTCCAGCCGCAGAGGAGCAGCTAATGAGTGAAAGCTGTAATGGCTGTTTGGAATGAAACACTGCAGACTCGATGTACAAAGTGAGATCTGAATTACACAAAAGTCTGACCTGTCATCAGAGAAATAGTTTTTATTTCTAAAACATTTGTTTGTAATTACATGTTCTGCTGGAAAAGTATGTTCTCGTATATGGTTTGTGTGCACACGGCTCTTAATGAAATCTGCAGACATTCAACGAATGGAGAGGTCATCCATCAGCCAACACTGACACATGTGGCATCGCAGGAGAAGCACAAAGCTGGAGAACTCGCTTTTATTGTGTGGCACAACTCGCCCCTAACACCAGAGGTCCCTGCAGCTTCTCGTCTGTCCCAGAGTCATGCACAGCTGGCCGTGAATCGCCTCTGTGTGCCGAGTCCTCGTTAGGAAGCATAGCAGAGCGCCGGAATGGGTGTCAAGTCGCTAGTGAAAATACAAATCATGCTGCGTGTTGATCTTCTTTGACACACGGTTCATTTCCTGTTGTGCTCCTCTGGCTATAGTCCCCAGCCTGCTCAACCGACTCACTGGTGGTTTAAAAGTGTGCGACAACATCATCTCATCATTGAGGAAGCAGATTAACATGGTACACAGGTGGCGGAGTGGATGAGCAATGAGGTGTTAATGACCTAAGCAGGTGGTAAAAACAGATTTAATGAAACGAATCCTCTTTTGAAAGCAACCTTCATACATGGCCTGTGTAGAATATTTAAAAAACAGACTGTGATGGAGGTTGACCTTGTCCTTTCACGTTTGGTTGGATTTCTCCTCATCTGTCATTAAATAAGATGCTTTTTTTCTTTCCAGTGTAGCACCTCAGTGAGGAGAAGTGCGGCGATCACATATTTAGTCCTTCCTCTGATGTGTCTAGTTATACTTAATAATATTACATAATAAATAGTGTTGGTCCTCTGGTGCGTCGTGTTGGGGCAGCGTTGTCGGCCTTTAGTCCTCTGAGGTGACGTCTACGTCCTCGGAGCTGGGCTGCTTGGTGGCCATGCGCCATCTGTTGATGTGGTGGGTTCCCTTCTTCTTCTGCTGGCTGTCTGGTCCCTCCTCCTCCAGCTTCTGGCGCTTGTACTTGGTCCGCCTGTTCTGGAACCACACCTTCACCTGGACGGGCAAATCAACAGGGTTAATGATGATGATGATGATGCTGAGAAGTGTCCTTTCAGAGAGGCACTGATTTAAATACAAACAATAGGCAGTAAGACCTTTCTCAGGGTGACGTGTTCTATGTGACACTGATGTGACTTCAGTTCTAGATTGTTGGTTTTATCTAAATGTCATGGAGCCATCATTCATGTTTTTAATATCTGAGATTGAGGTGGCAACTCACGATTATTTTCATTATTTCTGCTCAGTATTTTCTCAATTAATTGATAAATCACTTGGTCTAAAAAAATGGCGGAAAATAGCACCAACAACATGCACAATTCCCTGAAGTCCAACATCTTTAAATGCCTTTGAGTTTTCTCTCTGATTCAATCATTCAAACCCGAACACCTTCATGCACTTTACAGAGCAGCACATCTTGAATAATTGGCATTTTTGCAGGAGAAATGACTTCTTGTCAATTTTCTTTAATTCAACGAATCCATTATTTGGCTAATTGTTTCAGTTCTCCTATTAAGGCAAGTTACAATGTGTGTGTGTGTGTGGCGCTCACCAAATCAAAATGAAATTTTAAAAAATTACTTTCACAATCTATGCTACATTTATGTTATTCTGTTTAAAACAATGCTAATATTCTACACAGTTCTGTTTTCTTCCCAAACATGTAATTAAATTCACCCTCTGCAAACCATGTTATCTTCTACCATTACATCAAAACTCTAATTAAACAACCAAAGTCTCAATCTGCCGGTCACAGAAACAGAAGCTTTCTTCCAACCTAACTGAGCCGCCATGCCTTTGGATCTTCCTGCCTCCTGTCGCGCTCTCAGATGCTCGTTCAAAAGATTCTGTTGTAAAAACCAAACCTCTTCTCTTTGAGTGAACATGGTATCAATGCACAGAAGTTCGACAGGTTCCTGACTCGTGTTGTTGGAATATGAGCTTGGCTGACTATGTGTCCAGGATGCATTTTTTAAATAGCAACACACTCATATTATCGTCCGCCCTACGAGGCTTCAGCATAATTCTACTTGGTAGGAATTGTTGTCACTAAAACTCCCAAAGATCCGCAGTCTACTGAGCTGTGGGAGTGTTTTTGAATAATAATGCGCATTTATAAGCTCAGTCACTTGATCAGTCTAGTCCACATGTTTCTCCATACATGTGAGAAACTTAACATTCAGTTCACTGTCATTATAATTTGCGTAATACAATTGCTGCTTAATTGAAGACCTCTTATTGACTGACACAGAACTTGCAGGCAGCATTTATCCCTTTCGCTGACTCAGGAAACCTCTCTTTATATTGCCTATTAGGCCTAATTGACACCCAGATAATGTGGACTCATTAAACATAACCATCAATAACATTTACACTGCTTTATAATTGGATTGCATAGATTTAAAAGAAACGTTGAATTTCATTAAAGCACAGGCAGTGCAGATGATTCACACTGTTAATGTATCATTTCCTCTCATCAACATGGTGGTCACACACATTTAGATGACTCCTTATTTGTTAATAACAACTAACCTTTAATTCAAACCACGGGCCTTCCTATGTCACACCTAAACTAATGAACAATTTAAAACTGTCAGTAAAAAAAATAATAATGTTGCTGCTTTAAATTGAAGTTATGATTATGAGGCTGTAATTGTTTGACATTCCAGAATCAGGAGTTAACTGCAGGTTATTTTAAAATGTTCATTTCCATTGTTCCACTGTTTTTGAGAATAATTTAACTGTCCGGGTATAATTCTGCTTTATTTGGATATATTTATTATAAGCAAAAAAATATATAAAATTTTGAATTATCCTTCAATTATTGAACAAATTAATGGACATTTAAATACAGCAGTCTGAATGTGTTCTCTTGCGCTCACCTGTGTTTCAGATAAACTCAAGCTGTTTGCGAGCTGCTTCCTCTCGGCTCCGACCACATAGTGGTTCTTCTCGAAGGCTCTTTCCAGACGGAGGAGCTGCGACGGAGAGAAGGCCGTCCGGATGCGTTTGGGTTTTCTGGCGAAAGGCCCGTGGAGGAGCAGGCTGTCCTGGGACATGTCGTTACCTGAGACCGGAGTCAAAGAAAGCAACATGGCCGTCAGTCGGGGCTGGCAGAGGTACTTTCACAGCTCATTCTATCTGGACACCAGGACACCTGTATTATAGGCGCACTGATCAGAAACGGTGTGACCGAGTGATGCTGTGCGTCACTGTCACGGTAATGAAAAGCAACGGTCAAGCAAAACTTCAGATCTATTTATGAATCTATTATTATCATTATTATGTCTACTATCCAGTAGCTGTAGTTATAATAGCCTAATAATAATGATAATATAATAATAATATTGCCATAATAATACAATTGACCAGAAATGTAATATTTCCATAAGTTAGTCGAATAGATCTTTTTTGTCAAATTCCGTTTTTGTTAAATGAGTGTTTTTTAAAAAAGCGACTATTGTGCTTCCATCAAAAGCTCCTGTTTTACGACATGCTTTATTTTTTTGTATTAGACTGAGAATAATGCATTTTAAAAGAGTTCATATAAACTCCTTTGAACAGTTTATGGAGACAGAGAGCCTATGAAAATAGTTTGAGCCCGATACAGAACATTTTTAGTATTCATATTAGTTTTTGTTCTTTTTTTAACCAACTAAACATAAATAACTCGCGACTTGTTCAGGAGAGAACGGACATCAGATAACATCAAACACATAATATACCTGTAGTCAGATAAACAATTATAATCTACTAATGTAATTGAATTTACTGAAAAATACAATAAGATCAAAGTTGATATTGTGTTGTGTGTGATTATTTATTCTTGTGGTGAATGAACGTGAAGCTACATTTTGTCAGCCATGAAAGCGAAAATATTCTGAGAAATGTACATTTTTATTTCAAGGTAAAACATTGTGATTGAATATTTAAAAAAAAGCGTTTTCGTTCTTTGTTGATGCTGAAGTTTTGTTTTAATGTTTATATGCTAATTACCATTTTTTAAAACCAAATGTGTTAAATTCACATCAGGTTGCCAGTGTGGCAGTAGGCTATATTATTATTGTTATGGCCATTTTATGGATTTGCATCATTCTTTCTTCATTGCACAATACATTTGTTGTCCAGAACTGTATGCCATGAAAAGCGATATGAAGATACAAGTTGCCTCGTACAATATAAACATAAATAGTATAGAGATGCGTTCATTGGTTACTAGTTGGCGCTGCAGGTTTGTCTGGTTAATAAATCACTGCAGGCCGTGTTCAAAGCCTTTCTATTCCCATTATACTCAAGATATTCCTGGATGTAATCAGGTGTGTCTGCAGCCTGCTGTCCTGCTAGATTTATTTCAGAATGAAATGAGCCTATGAACCTAACCTAGGGCCAGTTTTCTTGTATAAAAGAAAATCTACATCAGAGCTTATCTTCTCTCGGCTGCGGCTTCGTGAGAGAGCTGCAGGGCGAAGGAGAGTGGGAGAGCAGCCGCCACCCTGCTGCAGTTTAGTGTTCAACTGAGAAACGCTTTCAATGCTGACAGCTATGTACAAATATCATCTCACAGATTGTTGAAGCACACTTTCAATTTTAAGAAATGCTGTTAGTTTATTTTGAATCATGCAAACCTCGTTTTTCAAGCAGTAAACTCAATTACATGACATGATAATATAAAGTTATTCAGTGTTTTATGTGCAGATCCTATTATTTATTTATTTTTAAGTCTGATTATTCGAGCAGAAACACTTGCAAACATCAGAATCGGTTGCATAAGTGTGTATAATAAGCAGATTTGCATCGCCACCACTTCACTTAGGCCTGTACCTTGAAATCGGTGTCCGAAAAACCGGTTCCGCAGGACCCAGGGGTAGAAGTTGAGCGGGTCTCGGTGCTGCGTCCCGAAGAAGTGCGGATGCTGTAGGTGGTGGGAGCCTCCGAGCTGGTGAGGAGCCACGGTGAGGGAGGGGTGGTTCTCCGGGAACACCAGGTCCGGGCTCTGGTAGAGGGTCCTGGCCTGCGGAGCCTGGTAACTGTTCATTAAGGCATCCGTCGTCGGGTTGGAGTAACTTAAAGCCGTCGGACGGATGGGATCCTCCGCGATTAGAGGGTTCTCTTTGGCGACCAGAGACTCTATCGTGAAGCAGCGCTTGCCTGCAGAAGAAAACATCATCTCTTGACAGAAACAGAAGCCAATACCAAGAAGAAAGTGATCAGTCTTTTTCCCCTTCCTCTTGCTGGAAAAAAGCAACCTCCCGTTCAGAGATGCATCATGACCAAAGCAGAGATGCTGCTACAAAACTCAACAGTGCTGCAAATTGCCCGGATCCATGAAGTCTACGCGCACTCGGAGGGTTTCTGTGCACAAGTGCGCACCAAGTAAAGCGCCTCCAACCTTCAATGTGGCTTGGCGCTGCGCAGGGAGGGAGCTGATTGGACCAGAGCACCTGCCAATAGGTCTCCTCAAGTGCCTGCCTCAAAGATCACACAAGACCGGGCAGCTTAGTTACAGAGACACGCTGAGAAAACATGTGTGCCTCCAATTAATGGCTCATTGTGTGTCCTATTCAGCCTTAATATCTCGTTTTTCTTCAGGGAAACAATGTGCCGGTGGAGGGGAGGAGGGAGGAACTTCCACTTGTTTGCCTGTTAGAGCAGCAATTCTAGAAGTTACGAAGTACAACACAAGAAAATGAAACTTGGATAAATGTCTCATGGAAACGAGTTGGATTTCCACTCTTTTCACAGCGAAGTGCCTCGTGTTTTATAATAAATAAATCATTTATAACAACGTTTAGACGTGTTTTAACTCGTGACTCAGTGTTAAATCTCTGCTCCACGTGGCCTTTATCTGAAATAAGCGTTGAAAGGCTGCAAAGGTCAGTTCCCTCACGTTGTTCTCGACTATCACGTCCCTCATTTCACACTTGCATTTCACGTGCGATTGTTCATCGATGATGAAAACAACCAGAAGCAGAGTGACGTTCAGGTGAAACGTTCAAGCAGAAATATCATTTTAATCTTCATGCATCAACAAACACAAACAATTTCCCTATTTCCTTATAGGAGCATATTTGGTCGCCTCTAATTATATTTTTAACGCTTATTTTTTATTTTATTTTTTGCATTGTGTGCATTATGCAAAATATTGAACGTTGAACGAAATAATATTGATAAATTATAAATAAGCTGTTGCTATAAATGACCACCAACATAATAATAAGAATAATGTTGTTCTTGAATATGCCTCTATTGTTCTTTTTATTCCATTAATTGCTACATTATTTCAAATGATGATCATTTGATGCTTTTGGAATAAGATGAAGGACGCACATGAAAGCCTTCCGTTAGGCTTTTCTAATGTATTAATTAAGAAAAAGAAAATAATGATTGTGTTGTTTTGAGATGAGTTTCAGTTGTTATAGGCTCTAAACATCGTAACCGACAGAC